GTGAGGTTTATCCCATGCAGGGAGATGTTAATATTTGCTAAGCACTTAAAGCAGGGAGGAGAAAGTGTTATATGAGTGGCAAGTAGTAAATATGTGCTTTAACTATGTGAAAGTGAACATGTGTTATTTGCATAGCAGATAAAATTGGCAGACCCCAAACATGGAGTTCACCCCTCTTGCTGTGGGAAATCCAAGAAGACCAAATAGACAGAAGCACATTGGAAAAAAAGCAAATGTCTGAGCAGAAAATGAAAAGAATTTTAAAAGGCACTCCAATCTGACTTTTTCCATTCCTGTCCCAGGGCCACAGAGGCAAAAGAAGAGAGAGATCATGTTAGGAAGGTTAGAGCCAGCACTAAGTTCTTCGAAGGAAAGGAAACAGGCTAGAAGTATTCTAAGAGAAAGACACAGCAGAAAGGACAACTACTGAAGGCTATGGGTACCCAAGACTGAGGAAAAGGAGTGTGGGTAGTGCTGGCCTTCAGTGGGGCTGGGAAGGTCAGTTCTCCTACAGAGACAACCATGGAGGTCAGCAGCTTCCCTGGGGAGTAGGTTCCACAGACCCACTTCATCATCAGCTGAAGGTTCTGCACAGGTGTGAGAGGCTGACACCACCTGGTCAGCCACAGTGGGTGGGCCCATGGGTACTGTTCTGTGATAGGACTGGCTCACCCTAAATGTGGGTGACACCGTTTCATGGGCTGAGGTCCCAGACTGAGTAAAAAGGAGAAAGCAAGCTGAGCACGAACTTTGTTCTCTGCTTCCTGACTGGATGCAAGGTGACCAGCTGCCTCATGCTCCTCCACCACACCTTCCCTGTGCTGGACTATACTCTCAAACTGTGAACCGAACTGTAAATACTTCCTTCCTTCCTTAAGTTGCCTTTAACAAGTATTTTGTCATAGCAACAAGAAAAGCAGGCACTACACCAAGTTTCTCGGTTTTATAAGAAGACAGTGATTCCTCCAAACATCATTGAGACAGGAGAGCAACCAGAGTGGAATTCTCCCTAGAGAGGGAAACAGCACCATCCTCACCCTCAATGAGAGTGTTACAGAGTCAAGTGGCAGCTTCTGGGATTGCAGACCACAGGCATAAACTGGCTTCCCATGCAGCCAAAGCCAAAAGGAGTTTCCCTTCTACCTCCTTTCCCCATCCTAGTTCGAGTAAATGACTGGAGCTTCTGGGGCTTTGGGCAACATCAGCATATTCTGCAAACAATTCTGCCTGAGAAGATGCTTAATGCAAACGTCTTGTTTTTTAAGTATTATGAATGAAAGCCTGGTATAGCAGTACCCCGTAAGTTCTTTAAACACACTGGCTCACTGGATCTAAACCTGGGGAACATCAAAGGTGGTCAACTCTCCTGCACTAGCATATCTCAGGGAACCTGGAAGAATTCGTGTCCATGAAACTATCCAGGCTATAGCTGTCAAGGGAACCCAACTGTGCTGTACATCTAGAACATCCCTGGCTATGAAGAAAAATAATAAAGACATTCAGAGCCTTAACCTTAAAAAAATACAATTTCTTTGGATTTTATTCTTCGAAATTTTTATGCATGTATATAATTTATCATATA